TAGTTTTCATCCATTTTGGATTTTGTCCAGCCTTCTGGAAAGGATTTATTACGAAAACCGAGGGTCTACTGTACTTATAAAAAAGAATAATACTTAAAACTTTAGTTCTCCATTCTACCATGCAGCACAGAGCCCAACAGAAGGGCACTTACACATATTTACTGAAACAAACAACCTCAGGGCTAATAGACATATGTATATGTGAGTGACCAACAGAGGACTAAGTGGCAGCCACAAGATCTAAGGGTCCCCACCCAATGTCTTTGCAGAAGGAAAAGATAATGTAACATCAGGCAACTGGATATGGCTCATCTGTTAACAGGAATGTAGGATTCTGAAGGATAAGGCAAGGACTTCAAAAGGTGTGAGACTTTAAGGATCTGGGGATTTTAGGGCAATTACTAAAGGAAATTAAAGACTCCCATAACCCAGGCCAAGACTGGGAGTAGAAAAACTCTCAAAACTCATCAAAGGTATGTATATCATTAAGGTTTTTAAAAGGTCTTGACTCAATGAAGCTCAACAATACATGAAATGTCAAAATATAGATTTGGTTTGCAAACTCCCTTTCTTTACCATACTTAGCAGCACCAATTGCCTGTCAAACCATCACAGGGAACTGTGGAAGTAGACTCCACACATACATGGAGAGGGAGTGGAAGAAATTGCATGAATCAATTCTGATGTCACACTAGCAGTGACAGGAGTGGGTTGGGCAAGTAATGCAGTCACGTAAGCAAGGGACAGAGAAGAGAGGCCATGAGTGAGAATTCCTTGTATGAATCTCTGCCGCTACCACCTAAAAAGGTGGTAGCAGCAGGATGATAGGGAGGATATTCAAAGTTTAAGTAGGGACAGAAATGGAGAGTTTTCTCAGTACCTTGAATTACTATAAGCATGGGGAAGCACTAAACCACCGGGAAATGGAAAATAACCAGGTTTGATCTGTGGAAGGGAAGGGCAGCTCCAACAGCACCTGAATTAATTATATGCACAAAGAGCATATTAGTACTGCATTCACTAGTAAGTGCTAATCCCAAATGAGTCATATAATGTTAAACTGCAAGGAAAAGGTGTGTACAGGCAGAGGCAAAATCAAAGCTGATACATTTATTCTATGAAAAATCAAAAAGTACATGAATCAGTATTGAAATTGGGAGAGTCAGAGAGGGCAGCAGCCATAGCTACGGCATCTGAGTGTTGAAAATGACCCAAAATTAACCCAGCAAGAGCTTCTTGATAAAATGAACAATTAATCAAAAGATGGCATTTCTCAGAGGTATTGAGCATCTCTCCATATAATGTCCATGTACGAGGTGTGTGTCCAGTATACAGGCATGCAAGAACTTTTCCACAGCCAATAGTGACAAATGGTGCAGAATTTTTATATTAAAAAAGTGTTAAATCCAAATGGAAAGGGTGACACGAGCTTATTATTACTGCATACAGCATTCACAAATATGTATGACCTGTACATGTTATACATTTTTGTGAGTGCTGTCAAGTAGAGATGTATAACCTGTCAGGTAGAGTTGTATAACCTGTACAGGCTGTACATCTCTACTTGACAGATGGGTGTTGATGTCAGGCTAATACATGTAGAGGATGGGTTTGTGTGCAAGTCATAGTTGGCTTGATAAATCAGTTCCAGTTAAGAAATCATGACACGTTTTCACAAGTATGAGGAGCTTTCCGAGAGGATGGCAACCAATTTATGCCAAAGATGAGTTATGGCCTGGATATACAACACATTATTTTTTTAAGTTGTATAGCTGTACTGACAGTCATTTCTTTTGATCCTATTTATCAAAGAGCAAAAGACTTCAATTCCAACCTCTCCTTCAATGCCCTGATGCCCTCACCTTGGCTATTCCTCTCTCAAAGGCCCACCATTAATACAAGCCCAATCTATCACTCAATATAATTAATATTATTCTTTCTTCTTTCAACAAACCGGCCATATCCCACTGAAGCAGGGTGGCCCAAAAAGAAAAACAAAAGTTTCTCTTTTTAACTATAGTAATGTATACAGGAGAAGGGGTTACCAGACCCTTGCTCCTGGCATTTTAGTCGCCTCTTACGACACTCATGGCTTACGGAGGAAGAATTCTATTCCACTACCCCATGGAGAAATTATTATTATTATTATTATTATTATACATGTACTGGTATTCAAAACCTAAGCTAAACCCAAATGCACCATATGCTACAACTCTTCAACTGAAGTTAACTAACTTCACCAACTATGATTTCCTTTTTTTTGCACATGGGCTAACCCTATACACTTCCTCCTAACTGCTAGCACCCCAGTAACACGAAGCCCTGAATGAGTTGTACAGGTTTATTAATTTTTTTTTTGTATATACAGAACACTAACAAAAATATGGGTTCATACCCTCCAATGCTTGATTTGTACCTAGCAAAATACAATGCTCCACCTCAGACTGCAGGTAGGCCAGGTACCATCCCACTTGCTTGACACCACCCACAATGATACTCGCCAATCTACAAAGCAAACTGCAAATTATAAATGAGGTGAGAGGCATACATCCCATCCACCAGAGGTTTTTCCTCAATGAAAAGCAACAGCTCTCAGGATAGTCTCATCTTCCAAATGAGCGAAAATGAACATACGGGTCCTCAAGCATGGCAAGAGCACTAGTGCAGTACTTAGTTCAGTTTCATAGTAACAGCCACCCTGCTAAGTGAAGTCCTGCCAGTGCAGTCAAGGCACTGAAGATTATAATTCCACCATCACTAAGAAGTGCTCTAGGGAAGTCTACATTAGAACAGGATAAAGAACTCCTATTTGCACCAGAGGTTCAAAGGCATGAAAAGGAGTCAGGGCCAGGGAAAGGACCTGTTAAGCAAGACCAAGCAAGGAATGTTGGTGGTGGTTTGGGTGTTTATCCAAGCTGTATAGAAAATATTTTCCTAGGTCTCACAAAGTGTTTATCAAACCTGTTGCATTGCAAGAGATATCAAAGCCACAACTGAAAGTGATCAGGGGTTAGGCAAATGGCAAAAACCGACTTTCTCTCATGATTTGCGGGCAACTGAACATACTCTAAAGAGAAAGCTAAACCCTACAGTTGGTGGCTTTCTAAATCGCCCCAGGTTCAAATAAATATTTACCATGTCATAATAAATATTGACTGTCATACAAAAATGGGATGGTCCTGATATGAAGACATACAATTATGTAATTTCTTTACCCAAAATCTCTTCTGACCAAAAAGAAAGTGACTCGTGGTTGAGTGGTAGTGCCTCCGGCCCTCAGTCAATGAACCCGGGTTCAATCCATGTTAAACCCCATCAAGAGTCAACTCTCAGCCCCAAGGGTAATGGAAAGATGTAGGGAAGGAACAACTGAAGGTACTGTTTCATTTCAATCACGGGACAGAAAGGTTCATTCTCTGTAAAGTCTGCATGGCTTGATAAAAGGTGGGTCTTTGGTGAGTCTTTATAGGGTCACCATTCACAATAACACAAAGGAGCAGCAATAAGTCAGCCTCTATAATCAGATTACATGAGCATTATGAGAAATTTATAAAATAAAATTAAAATGGTAACAGAGGAAAGTACAAGATTTTTTCAGCAAATCTGCTATTACTTTCCAAATGATTTATTTCCTTCTTTAAGGACAGTTTCCAGTGCTTTAACTTTATTTAGGACAGCAACAAGTCTATACCATTTTCATATACAATATATCATATATAGATTTAGAAAATCAAAGTCTAAAGAATCAAATCAACAGATTAGGATGATCAACATTCAGCCTAAATTAGTTGCTGTATACACAACAGCAGATCCACACGGCATATCTGACCCCCATTGGTACTGGCCCTCCATGTACTCTCCTTACATACGCACACTAAACATACTGCATCTGATGTCTCAGCAGCTTTAACGGCTTGGATTGTGAAATACACTTAAATTATAAAAACATTAGGTCCACTTCGAGAAAAATATATAAGCCACTGAATCTATATATAACAATATTTTTTTACACCATTGAATTTATAGACATGGAGCAGGTATCTTACTTCAGCTTGTTATAATGCTCAGCTGAACCTGTCTAAGATGCTACCAACTTGGTGCCTACTTACTGCTAGGAGAAAAGGGTAAGAGGTGCAAAGAGACATGCCCAGTATCACCACCCACCCCAGGATTGAACCCAGGTTCACTGACTGAGGGTTGGAGGCACTACCACTCAATCACGAGTCACTTTCTTTTAGGTCAAGAGAGATTTTGGGTAAAGAAATTACATAATTGTATGTCATTACGAACCAAACATCAATATTTTTACAAAACGTTTATCTGTGGGTAGGAAAACACAATTATTTTGTAGATGAGTATTTTACATACGTACACAATAGTTAAACGAAAAGGACTCATGTGAAAGTGAAAACAATGCAGCAGTATTATTGAAATATCAATTAGGCATTTTAAATTATATTGTGATTATTTTAAAATGTTAAGCCATTAATTAAATGAACAAATATGAAAATCCTTTGCTCATGTGAAACAGCAAAGGATTTGATGTAATAACAGTGGGTTCATGAAGTATACAGTGATCTCTCTCAGAGTAACAAGTGCCAGAAATATTCAAATAATAGAAAATATATTAATGGAAATTGAAATGTTTCCTTGCTCAGAATTTTTTTCTGAATTACTGACTATTTTTCACATTTAAATAAAAAGATATTTGCACTTATTAAGGAAATTAGGATATCAAGAATATTCCAAATTCCAACTTAGATTTTCCAAATCTGAAGTTTTCAAATACATGTACAGTACTGTGTATACAAAAATCTCATACAGAGAAAGTCAAAGGCACACACCATATTAAGTAGGTATATATACACATGTCAAAGTGCACCACAGGAACATATTTTTTTATAAGTACAATCTGTTTACAACAACATATCACCTGAGGAGTACTTTCCAAGAACTTCAATTTTATTTAAATGAAAATTTAATTCTTAGATTAAAACAAATTTAATAATATTACTTATGTAGTGAGACTTCTACATATGAAATGTCTACATTTCAACTGTACTAAGTGCAAACTAAGATAGAAATTATTTCAATCTACTTCAGGGACATCACTAGGAGAGGACACATGGACAAAACACTTATCACCAAAGATTCCTAAATTAAAAATAATTAAGATTTGTATTTCTACAATAATGACCAATCTGCCTAGTCCATGAAGTTTGTAGTCCTCAACAAAATTACATAAACAATACATCCGATACAATAATACCCATTTAACATAGAGTTTATTTGCTAATATAATGTATATTTCCATATAAACCAAATATTTACAGCAGAAATCATATAATCTAAATTCTTACAACAGATTTATGAGATACAAACTAATTTATTTTATCTAGTTAATACCTAATGATATGGAAGACTCAGCAAAATAATGAACAAAGGATATATAGGGTATTGTGTGTAATTTTATTGCAGCTATTTATATAGATAGCCATTCAACTATCATAAATGGCAGAGCTTCTCAATTATTATAATAGTCTTGGGGGAAAGAATAAAACTGTAGGAGTCATACAGCATTTGCAAAAGGGGAATTAATCAGATTCGATCCAAGGAAAGGGAGGATAGCTCCAACTGCCTGAGTCAGAGAGCTTTTACTGACATCGAAGTATCAGCTTTATAGGTTCTGGCCATAAATTGTGGGAAAAGTGAAAAAGAAATATTCCTAGGTGGATGAATTTATGGATAATGCCCAAAAATCTGGTGTATAGAAATATATCTTGTTAGATGAATGTTATTAAGCCTGGTCAGTCTAATGCCTAGAGCACTAGCCCACTAGTTTGAAGACTGGCTTGCCATGAGTTTGAGTCTTGCCAGTTCAGCATGTTGATCATATTGTGATTTTTGCAAATCACAGATAACAGGTTTGGAGTGACTTGAGCTAGATCTCAGCACTGCCATGTGGATATGAGAGCCATCCATAAAAACTTGCCTTTATGGTCACAATAAGTTCCCTGCTAACCTCTCTAGTGTATAAAAATATATCTAGTTGGATGAATCTTATTAAGCCTGAGCAGTCTAGTAGTCAGGTTATTGGCCTGCTAGTTTTAGGACTGGCTTGTCAGAGGTCTGAGTCTTGTCCACTCTCTGAGTCAATGCATGAGGCTCTGCTTTCATAATGTTCATGATGGCCTACTAGCTAAACCCTATACAGAGCTCACTTAGCTGAAATGAACCAAATTTATAAAATCTCCCATCAGCTGAAAGTAGTCATTAGCTTTCAAATTAAAAAGCAGTGACTCATACTCATTGTAGAATGAATATAGAATCAAGTAGTCTAAATCCTCTACCCTTAATAGTTGATGATGCAATAGAGAATGCTGTTAGAACAGTCAGGCAGTATAACTACTACTTTTGCAAACTCATCTTTAACAGTGATTCAGAAAAACCTTACGATGTTAGGCACTAATGACTACATGTGTGAAATATACAAAAATTATAGATGAGCTGAACTGTCTTGAACAGCAAAGCCATTGGGCATAAGATGTCCAAAAGCATAAGAATATGTTTCTAATTCCTACTCGGTCATCCTGAGCACAATAATAAATGCATGGGAGGGTGTGTAAAGGAAGGAAGTTGAAAGTGAACATAGATAACAGCAAGGTGATGAGGCATAAAAAACGAGTTAGGAAACGAAAGATTGGATATCAGATCGGAGGGAGAGAGTATGGAGGAAGTGAATGTGTTCAGATATTTGGGAGTGGACTTGTCATCAGATGGGTCTACGAGGTGAATCATAACTGGCGAGGGGAAAAAGGTGAGCGGTGCACTGAGGAGTCTGTGGAGACAAAGAATGTTATTCATGGAAGCCTAGAGATGTATGAGAGTATAGTGGTACTAACATTCTTATATGGGTGTGAAGCATGGGTGGTAAATGTTGCAAAAGAAGGCTGGAGGCAGTGATGTTAAGTATGAGGGCAACATGTGATGTGAATATTATGCAGAGAATCTGTAGTTTAGAGATTAGGAGGAGGTGTGGGGTTACTAAAAGTATTATCTAAAGAGCTGAAGAGGGTTTGTTGAGGTAGTTCAGACATTTAGAGAGGATGGATGAAAACAGAACGACTTAGCCCATAAACCTGTAGTGGAAGGAAGGTGGGGTAAGGGTCATCCTAGGAAAGGTTGGAGGGAGGGGGTATAGGTGATTCTGGACGTGCTATTAGTGTGAGTAAAGTAACATTTATGAATGGATTCAGGGAAACTAGTTAGCTAGACTTGAGTCCTGGAGGTGGGAAGTACACTGCCTGCACTCTGAAGGAGGGGTGGAGATATGTTACAGTTACCGAACTGTAGTATCAGCATTCCTCTGGCAAGAGAGTGACGGAGTGAGTAACAGTGAGTGTTTCTTCTTTTTCGGTCACCCTTTCTCGGTGGGGAAACAGTCATTGTATTAAAAAAATATGATTTTTATGGATAGAGAGTGGGCAAGTAACATTTATGAAGGGATTCAGGGAAATTGGTTCTGAAGATTATTTGAATATTATGTCTTCAAACTTCTGGCAAGACAGCAGTTGAATGAATGATGAATTTGTTTCCTCTTCTGGGTCACCCTACTTTGGTGGAAGATTGCTAGTATGGTTGAAAATAAAAACCAATAATGTCACTCATTCCTGGAATTGAACTCCTACAGTGGTACACGAACAAATCAGTTCACAACCAAAAAATTCGCCAAAGTTTTGCATCTGATCACGAACACATAATTGGGTGCCAAACAAACACAGCCGTGCCAATTTTCACATTCCGTGCCATTTCTTTTGCACGTGCCAATTTTCCTCACTTTCTGTTGTTTGTGTAGACCTAACAAAGACCCTCACCTTGTAGTCGGTCTCAGTCAGACATGAATTCATTCGCCATGGACTCGGGGATAAGGGATAAAGTACCATCCTCTTATCCCCTCCTGGGTACATACTTATATTAGAGAAAACGTAGTGTAGTACAGTGCTAACTGTGATATATGCTTATAATGCACCAGAAAACTAAGTTTATTCAGGTATACACAAATACAGTTACAGAGATTATCATACACATCAGCATATGTGTAGAGAACCTAGGATAACCCCAAAAATTCAAAAAGTGTGACTTATTTTCCCAATTTTCTTTTTCAGTGCGCACTCGTTTTTGTCAATTATCTTGGAAGTAAGTTATTCATAAATTACAGTAATTACGACCGTGATAAATTCGGATTAACAATGTTTTATCAGCAGGTAGTGCACAAATAACTTCTCGTATCGTAGTGCCAGTACCCAGTTAGGGCTTACCATATATGATTTTTGGTAAATATTATTTTTCTCAGTTGTTTGTTGGACTATCCCATTAAAACTTGGGCAATGTATGATGGAAAGATGCTTCTTAACGTACACCAAAAATGAAAGAAATCGGACGATAAATAACGGAGTTCACTTCTCAGCCATTAGACATCTCTTAAAACTAAAAAAAAAAAAAAAAAAAAAAAAATTTACAGCAAACTGTTTGTAGGGGTCTAGAACAGACTTGTGCAATGTTAGTTTTCTCTGCTGCTCAGGGTTTTCTCAGTGTTATTCAAGGCTTTTACATTTAGTTTACTATTACACTGTGTATTCTGTAGTATAATTAACTATTTTTGGGCTTAAAAAAAAAAAAAATTTCATACAGTTCATAGGGGTCTGGAATGGATTAATCGTATTTGGATACAATCCAATGAGGAAATTAGGTTCGGGTCACAACCAAATCGGGTTGCACGAGTTTTGGAACAAATTATGGTCGTGACCAGAGGTTCCACTGTATTTTGATTTTTATTAACACCAAAGATGCTGCTGGCATGTATATAAAGTAATTTTACTGTTTAATAAATAATGTCATGTGAAAACACTTCAAAATGTCAATCTCAGAACTAGTTAATGGATATAATCTCATATTTGTACATTTTTCAAAACACAAGTCAGCCATACCTAGAAAAACTACAGCCAAACTAATCACTAGATAATTTTTATAATACTCTATCTACATCTGTTTTGCCAACAAAATATTTTAGTTACTTTAGATAGTTTTCTTAGATGTAAATGGAATTTTTCTTTAGATTAAGTGTTAGCATTCTTTAAAACCTCAGTGAAGGAGAAATGTAAATAATGAATATTTATGTAATATAAACAAGCCTGAGCTTCAGCATTATACGAAAGATAAAAAATTCCTAATGAACCTACGAAGATCATTGCACTTGGGTGGTTTATATTAATGAAAAATATTAAAAACACAGAAATCTTAATTACTGTACTAGGTATATCCAGGTAAATAGGAAACAAGTGTAAATATCGTACAGTGTATATACTCTGAACCATCTTTAACTCGCTTTCTTTAAAATAAAAGGAGAGAGAGTCTTTTGGACATACTTAATTTTATCAAGACTTTGCGACTTAACTTTCTTCGCTTTAGTAGGCTCTATATTTAGCATATTGTCAGGTTTGAAAGGCATTAAAACTGTTTGTCTTAGTTTGTGGTTTTCCCTCATAACGAGATTCACACCTAAAACTCTCTGTTCCATCTTTTCGTCCAATGGAGTTGCAGGAATATCATCCACATCTGTTAATTTTTTATTTGTACTTTTCACCAACTCTACATCACTACTACTACACAATTCTTTGATATTAGTAGCTGCTAATAATGGTCTCTGCGCCAACACATTTTCATACCTAGCAGACGAATTAAGAGAGATGAACATAGATGGACTGGAAAAATGACAGTCATCCAGGTTCTCAGTACTGGCAGAAAACTGAAGTGACAGCTTACGGCATGCTCCTGATGTTTGAGTTTCCTGTAAAGAAACGTCAACATTTTTAGCTCTCATTACCATGAAATGAGTCCAATTTCAAGGTTATACATATATACTGTTGTATCTGCTCGCCTCAGGCAAGATAGTGATAGTTAGGTAAAAGGACATAAGTGCAACTTATGTGACATTTTATTGTGACAACATTTCACTCTCCAGATGTACTCGTGTCCTTTTACCTACATTTGTACAAGATAGTGATAGTGTAAATGATGGTGAAAAAGTGTTTCTTTTTTGGGCCACCCTGCCTCGGTGGGAGACAGCCAACAAGTTAACAAAATAAAAATACTAGTCCTGGAGGGAGGAAATACAATGTCTGCATTCTGAAGGAGGGGTAAGGATATTTGTGGTTAAGAGCGCAATCTGAACTGTGGTATTGGCACGCCTCTGGCAAGACAGTGGAGTGAATGATGGTGAAAATGCTTCTTTGTTTTTGAGTCATCCTTCCTTGGTGGGAAACAGCATATGTGATGTGTAAATATTATGCAGAGTTTGTAGTTTGGAGATTAGGAGGTATGGAGCTACTAAAAGTATTATCCAGAGGGAGAGGAGGGGTTGAGGTGCTTTGGTCATTTAGAGAGGATGGAACAAAATAGGATGGCATTGAGGGTGTATAAATCTGTATGTAGTGGAGGGAAGGTGGGATAGGGGTCATCTTAGGGAAGGATGGAGAAGGGATGGTGGTTTTATGTGTAAGGAGCTTGGACATCTAGCAGGCATGTGTGAGGAGTGAGTGGAAGCAATTGGTTTTTGGAACCTTACGAGCTGTTGGAGTGTGAGCAAGGTAACATTTTGTGAAGGGAGTCAGGGAAACCAGTTAACTGGACTCGAGTCCTGGAGGTGGGAAGTAAAGTGCCTGCACTCTTAAGGAGGGGTGGGGATATTTGTTGAGAGAGACATCTGAACCTACATATCTATGTGCCTCTGGCAAAACAGTGATAGTGCGAATGGTGGTGAAAGTGTTTGTTTTTCGGGTCCCCCCCCCCCCCCAAAAAAAAAAGTAAACTTGGATGAGTGTGTATACATACATACCTGTACATGTATGTGTAGTGTGACCTAAATATAAGTAAAAGTAGCAAAATGTGCCTGTTATCTTGCATGTTAATGAGACAAAGAAAAAGACACCAGCAATCCTACCATTGTGTAAAATAGCTACAGGTTTCCATTTCACACTCATCTGGCAGGACAGTAGTACCTCCTTCCTTCCCATGAAAATGTGTATTATCAATATTCATTACCTGGTTAATGCCTGTAATTCTGGTGTTATTCTTCCTATTTTCATTTTTCTTATCTACTTTGTCTTGATCCTGCTTTACTTCATTACTTGCTGAAAATTTATCTGACTGAAGAGGAAAGACAGGCACAGTCAACTTGGTATTTGATATTTCACTGGGCTCCTCACTGCTTTTAAGAGACTTTGGAGATAGGGTAGAAGCAGCATCAGTAATAGCACTGTTGGAAGATATGCAAAAAACAGTTTCACTCACACCATCTTTCAAATTTTTATGCACTTTACTCATAACATTGCTATGATCCAGGAATGAAGACTGTTCTGTCTTAATGAAATGCTGTGCACTTTGCATGCTACAACCGTCTGATGAAGTGGAATCTCCAATCTCTTCCATTTTACATTGTCCTACAGCACGTGATGATTTTCCTGAAGCAATCAACGTTTGTGCCAAAGCACTTTTCAAAAGAGGAATCTTTATCTTGGGAGTTCTTGGGTCAGGATTTCTTCCCTTTCTACCACTATTTGGTGTAAGTGATTTTGCTCTTTTCTGTTTCTTTGATGATGACGACTGAGCTTCTTTAACAACAGCTTCCCGAATAGCAAAAATTACTTTGATAATCGGTACTATTTGTAACATCTTTTCCAAAGGCAAGCTGTATCTATAAAATCTAGTTATGTCTGACTTGTCAAGACAAAATGATTTATACTGTGGAGATTCTTTTGCCATTTTAACCATATCTGCTTCAGTCAAGCGCAACTCCAACATTCTCTTTTGGGCTTGAACTGCAAAGCCTTTTAATTTCCTTAACTGTATAGGCAGTTCTTCCCCATGTTCTTCAAGTTCTCTAATAATGGTATGGGGGGAAATTTGATATTCCCCAGACTCTATGTCAATTTCATTATCAGAATCGCTTTCATACGTTATCTTGAGTACAGTGCTATTGTCACTTACATTTAATTTTAGTGGAGTTTTTTCAATCCTATTCAGAACATCAAGCTTTCTTTTATAAGGTGTCCGATCCCTGTCTCCTACATCAACTACCATGTTTTGATTAGAAGAGCTAGGCTTTTCATATGAAGTGGACTCTTGCGAATCATGTTTTAATTTGAAATTTCTTTCTTTAAGACGCCTATCACGGTCTTCCTGTTGCATACGTTTTACACTGTCTGCTACCATGTCTGCACACACAGGGCAGGTCCAGTGAACACAAGTGAATGGCAGACCTCCACATGCTATGTGAACACCTGTTGAGCCACACAAGTTGCACAGCAAAATCTCCCATCTCCTGAAACAGATGAAATTAAAGAATGAATAATATAAAAGCATATAAGCTCAGATAAATTTTATCTTCAATATTTTATCATAAACATTATCATCAAAATAATGTGCTTAAATTTTTTACTGTGTTTGTTTAACCTCATAATTTATGTGGATGAGCAAAAATGGTATGAGAAGCTCCTTATATGGGCCCAACATCATGAAATTCACATTTTTATTACGTATTTTGTTGGCATTGGCAGCTGGTAGTTCATTAATGAGTAAAGCTTATCTGTAGCCAAATGAGCTCACCTATTTGTGTGTGTGTTGTATATATAAGTATATACACATGCACACTATGAATTAATAAATAAAAGGGAAGCCCATTATCACGCCATGCACTTGGAAAAATACAAGTTAACTCTAAAGCCTCCATATTTCAGGCTCTCCTGAAATGTAATGTAATTTCAAGGAATGTACAAATACAGCTAAGCAACAACAACAAAAAAAGCAATAGTTAAGCATTTTTTTTTTTGACACATTGGTCATCTCCCACCAAGGCTGGTGACCCAAAAAAGAAAACACTTTCACCATCATTCACACAATCATTGTCTTTGCAGAGGTACCCAGACATGATAGCTCAGATGTCACTCCAAACAGCTAATATCCCAAACTCCTTCAAAGTGCAGGAATTATACATCCCACCTTCAGAACTAAAGTCCGGCTAACAGGTTTCCCTGAATCCTTCACAACATATTACCCTGCTCACACTCCAACAGCTCATCAAGTCCCAAAAACCATTCATCTCATTCACTCCTATCTAACATGTTCACACATGTCAGCTGTATGTCCAAGCCCTTTGCACACAAAACCTCTTTTACCTCCTCCCTCCATCCTATCCAATGGTATAATCAGTATAAATTTTAGAAAATTCCTTAGCCTTCTATCTACTTTGTGATATTTAAATTAAGCCATTTGATTGTTTTATGTACAGTAGTCTCTGTCATAAACAAATTATTATTTTAAGACTTCAGTCCACTTGAACTTCTGTGACAACAAAACATAAGGGCTTTGCCAAATATAAAGGTAACAGTAAGCTAGGCAGTGAAATGGTGCTGGAATATACTTGTAAATAAACTCGCATGATGGCCATTCTCTCACAATCCCCATGTATTTCTATCCTTATTACATTTTATTTATTATTTATTATTATCACACTGGCCGACTCCCACCAAGGCAGGGTGGCCCGAAAAAGAAAAACTTTCACCATCATTCACTCCATCACTGTCTTGCCAGAAGGGTGCTTTACACTACAGTTTTTAAACTGCAACATTAACACCCCTCCTTCAGGGGTTTTAATGGTGAGTTTACAAACCATATCAGGTAAGTCCAGTCATAACAAGGGCTTCCAAAGTATATACATGTACCACAAAGCTATTTCCCCCCAATCAGTAAAATGATAAGCAGTATAATCAAGAAATAAACCTGCTGATGTTTTTAAAACCCATGCAGAGAGAGCATGTTGGAGTACACTTACGTGCCATCTTCATCACTTTTGCGTCCATCTGGGCACTTGCACTTTGGAGCATCGCAATGGATGGGACGCTCAAGAAGATCACTGAAGGCATTTGGTTCCAATTCCCAACTTGCATCTCTGAAGATAGACATAATGATAATAAAACATTGCAAAAAATAAAGATACAGTATTTTAAAAGAACAAAAATCTCATTCCACCACCTGTACCTTCCTATCATTGCTGGTTGGATGACAGTAAATATGAACTGGCATACATTCTTTGGCAAAAATTAAGTGTACGCAAAAAAGATGGGGGTGCATATTTCTAGGGTTGGTCAATGTGAGAGGAAGCCATTGCTAGATGGTTTCAGACAAAGTTGATTAAAATTGGAAGAGAACACCTACCCTTTACACAATCAAATCAAATAAAAATTACCCAAAATAGATAAAGGGCATCATGAATCTTTTGGTTAAGAAGAAATATTTAGGTGCAGATTGAGTATTCAATAATTTTATGGCTAAATATGCTAAAATTACCATAGGTCAAAAAGTGAGAATAGTAAAGCTGAAATGTAATCATTCCTTCTCATTCTATAAATGAAATTTTTTACTGTATCTCACCTTTCACATTAAAACATACATTCCCTTCATTTCTATAATAAATCTCTCTCCATATTCAGCATTTCATCACTTTTACTGTTATATATTTACACAGATTACCCATTCATGTACGAAACTTACTTCTCTGGAACAAATATGCCAACATTTTGCATTTCCTGCAAAAACGTATCCTTGTCATTGCACAGTGGACACTTAAAAAAATATCCAGCACTTAGAGCTAATTTCTGAAAAAAAAAAAAAAATAATAATTACTATCGAATGTTTATTTCACACAAATTAAATATTTCAATAACATACTAAGTCTGTCATTAACTCATGAATATTCTAATATACAGTACTACAAACTAGCTACTTAAGATTTATATACCATACAGTAATTCATTTTACAAAGCAGAAGTGTTATAAGAAGAGTAGAGTATATGGAGAGTAAAAGAAAGGTGAAGAGAGTGGTGAGAGAGTGCAAAAGGAGAGGCACTGTCAAGATATTTTAATGAAAATAAGAAAAAATTTTGGAGTAAGTTAAACAAGTTAAGAAAGCCTAGGGAACAAATGGATTTGTCAGTTAAAAACAGAGTAGGGGAGTTAGTAGAGGGGCAAAGGGAGGTTTTGGGCAGATGGCGAGAATATTTTGAGGAATTTTTAAATGTCGACAAAGAAAAGGAGGCAGTAATTTCATGCACTGGACAGGGACGTATATCATCTTTTAGGAGTGAAGAAGAACAGGATGTGAGTGTGGGGGAGGTACGTGAGGCATTACATAGAATGAAAGGGGGTAAAGCAGCTGGAACTGACGGGATCATGACAGAAATGTTAAAAGCAGGGGGGGATACAGTGTTGGAGTGGTTGGTATTTTTGTTTAATAAATGTATGAAAGAGGAGAAGGTACCTAGAGATTGGCGGAGAGCATGTCTTTATTTTTATTATTATCACACTGGCCGATTCCCACCAAGGCAGGGTGGCCCGAAAAAGAAACACTTTCACCATCATTCACACCATCACTGTCTTGCCAGAAGGTTGCTTTACACTACAGTTTTTAAACTGCAACATTAACACCCCTCCTTCAGAGTGCAGGCACTGTACTTCCCATCTCCAGGACTCAAGTCTGGCCTGCTGGTTTCCCTGAACCCCTTCATAAATGTTACTTTGCTCACACTCCAACAGCACGTCAAGTATTAAAAACCATTTGTCTCCATTCACTCCTATCAAACACCCTCACGCATGCCTGCTGGAAGTCCAAGCCCCTCGCACACAAAACCTCCTTTACCCCCCTCCCTCCAACCTTTCCTAGGCCGACTCCTACCCCGCCTTCCTTCCACTACAGACTGATACACTCTTGAAGTCACTCTGTTTTGCTCCATTCTCTCTACATGTCCGAACCACCTCAACAACCCTTCCTCAGCCCTCTGGACAACAGTTTTGGTAATCCCGCACCTCCTCCTAACTTCCAAACTACAAATTCTCTGCATTATATTCACACCACACATTGCCCTCAGACATGACATCTCCACTGCCTCCAGCCTTCTCCTCGCTGCAACATTCATCACCCATGCTTCACACCCATATAAGAGCGTTGGTAAAACTATACTCTCATACACTCCCCTCTTTGCCTCCAAGGACAAGGTTCTTTGTCTCCACAGACTCCTAAGTGCACCACTCACCCTTTTCCCCTCATCAATTCTATGATTCACCTCATCTTTCATAGACCCATCCACTGACACGTCCACTCTCAAATATCTGAATACATTCACTTCCTCCATACTCTCTCCCTCCAATCTGATATCCAATCTTTTCAGTAGGTTGGTAGACAGCAACCACCCAGGGAAGTACTACCGTCCTGCCAGATGACTGTGAAACAAAAACCTGTAACTGTTTTGCATCATGGTAGGATTGCTGGTTTCTTTTTCTGTCTCATAAACACGCTAGATAACAGGGATATCTTGCTACTCCTACTTACACTTTGGTCACACTTCACAGACACGCACATGCATATATATATATACATACATCTAGGTTTTTCTCCTTTTTCTAAATAGCTCTTGTTCCTTTTTATTTCTTCTATTGTCCATGGGGAAGTGGAAAAGAATCTTTCCTCCGTAAGCCATGCGTGTCGTATGAGGCGACTAAAATGCCGGGAGCAATGGGCTAGTAACCCCTTCTCCTGTATACATTTACTAAAAAAGAGAAGAAGAAAAACTTTATAAAACTGGGATGCTTAAATGTGCGTGGATGTAGTGCGGATGACAAGAAACAGATGATTGCTGATGTTATGAATGAAAAGAAGTTGGATGTCCTGGCTCTAAGCGAAACAAAGCTGAAGGGGGTAGGAGAGTTTCAGTGGGGGGAAATAAATGGGATTAAATCTGGAGTATCTGAGAGAGTTAGAGCAAAGGAAGGGGTAGCAGTAATGTTAAATGATCAGTTATGGAAGGAGAAAAGAGAATATGAATGTGTAAATTCAAGAATTATGTGGATTAAAGTAAAGGTTGGATGCGAGAAGTGGGTCATAATAAGCGTGTATGCACCTGGAGAAGAGAGGAATGCAGAGGAGAGAGAGAGATTTTGGGAGATGTTAAGTGAATGTATAGGAGCCTTTGAACCAAGTGAGAGAGTAATTGTGGTAGGGGACCTGAATGCTAAAGTAGGAGAAACTTTTAGAGAGGGTGTGGTAGGTAAGTTTGGGGTGCCAGGTGTAAATGATAATGGGAGCCCTTTGATTGAACTTTGTATAGAAAGGGGTTTAGTTATAGGTAATACATATTTTAAGAAAAAGAGGATAAATAAGTATACACGATATGATGTAGGGCGAAATGACAGTAGTTTGTTGGATTATGTATTGGTAGATAAAAGACTGTTGAGTAGACTTCAGGATGTACATGTTTATAGAGGGGCCACAGATATATCAGATCACTTTCTAGTTGTAGCTACACTGAGAGTGAAAGGTAGATGGGATACAAGGAGAATAGAAGCATCAGGGAAGAGAGAGGTGAAGGTTTATAAACTAAAAGAGGAGGCAGTTAGGGAAAGATATAAACAGCTATTGGAGGATAGATGGGCTAATGAGAGCATAGGCAATGGGGTCGAAGAGGTATGGGGTAGGTTTAAAAATGTAGTGTTAGAGTGTTCAGCAGAAGTTTGTGGTTACAGGAAAGTGGGTGCAGGAGGGAAGAGGAGCGATTGGTGGAATGATGATGTAAAGAGAGTAGTAAGGGAGAAAAAGTTAGCATATGAGAAGTTTTTACAAAGTAGAAGTGATGCAAGGAGGGAAGAGTATATGGAGAAAAAGAGAGAGGTTAAGAGAGTGGTGAAGCAATGTAAAAAGAGAGCAAATGAGAGAGTGGGTGAGATGTTATCAACAAATTTTGTTGAAAATAAGAAAAAGTTTTGGAGTGAGATTAACAAGTTAAGAAAGCCTAGAGAACAAATGGATTTGTCAGTTAAAAATAGGAGAGGAGAGTTATTAAATGGAGAGTTAGAGGTATTGGGAAGATGGAGGGAATATTTTGAGGAATTGTTAAATGTTGATAAAGATAGGGAAGCTGTGATTTCGTGTATAGGGCAAGGAGGAATAACATCTTGTAGGAGTGAGGAAGAGCCAGTTGTGAGTGTGGGGGAAGTTCGTGAGGCAGTAGGTAAAATGAAAGGGGGTAAGGCAGCCGGGATTGATGGGATAAAGATAGAAATGTTAAAAGCAGGTGGGGATATAGTTTTGGAGTGGTTGGTGCAATTATTTAATAAATGTATGGAAGAGGGTAAGGTACCTAGGGATTGGCAGAGAGCATGCATAGTTCCTTTGTATAAAGGCAAAGGGGATAAAAGAGAGTGCAAAAATTATAGGGGGATAAGTCTGTTGAGTGTACCTGGTAAAGTGTATGGTAGAGTTATAATTGAAAGAAATTAAGAGTAAGACGGAGAATAGGATAGCAGATGAACAAGGAGGCTTTAGGAAAGGTAGGGGTGTGTGGACCAGGTGTTTACAGTGAAACATATAAGTGAACAGAAATTTAGATAAGGCTAAAGAGGTCTTTGTGGCATTTATGGATTTGGAAAAGGCGTATGACAGGGTGGATAGGGGGGCAATGTGGCAGATGTTGCAAGTGTATGGTGTAGGGGTAGGTTACTGAAAGCAGTGAAGAGTTTTTACGAGGATAGTGAGGCTCAAGTTAGAGTATGTAGGAAAGAGGGAAATTTTTTCCCAGTAAAAGTAGGCCTTAGACAAGGATGTGTGATGTCACCGTGGTTGTTTAATATATTTATAGATGGGGTTGTAAGAGAAGTAAATGCGAGGGTCTTGGCAAGAGGCGTGGAGTTAAAAGATAAAGAATCACACACAAAGTGGGAGTTGTCACAGCTGCTCTTTGCTGATGACACTGTGCTCTTGGGAGATTCTGAAGAGAAGCTGCAGAGATTGGTGGATGAATTTGGTAGGGTGTGCAAAAGAAGAAAATTAAAGGTGAATACAGGAAAGAGTAAGGTTATGAGGATAACAAAAAGATTAGGTGATGAAAGATTGAATATCAGATTGGAGGGAGAGAGTATGGAGGAGGTGAATGTATTCAGATATTTGGGAGTGGACGTGTCAGCGGATGGGTCTATGAAAGATGAGGTGAATCATAGAATTGATGAGGAAAAAGAGTGAGTGGTGCACTTAGGAGTCTGTGGAGACAAAGAACTTTGTCCTTGGAGGCAAAGAGGGGAATGTATGAGAGTATAGTTTTACCAACGCTCTTATATGGGTGTGAAGCGTGGGTGATGAATGTTGCAGCGAGGAGAAGGCTGGAGGCAGTGGAGATGTCATGTCTGAGGGCAATGTGTGGTGTGAATATAATGCAGAGAATTCGTAGTTTGGAAGTTAGGAGGAGGTGCGGGATTACCAAAACTGTTGTCCAGAGGGCTGAGGAAGGGTTGTTGAGGTGGTTCGGACATGTAGAGAGAATGGAGCGAAACAGAATGACTTCAAGAGTGTATCAGTCTGTAGTGGAAGGAAGGCGGGGTAGGGGTCGGCCTAGGAAGGGTTGGAGGGAGGGGTAAAGGAGGTTTTGTGTGCGAGGGGCTTGGACTTCCAGCAGGCATGCGTGAGCGTGTTTGATAGGAGTGAATGGAGACAAATGGTTTTTAATACTTAACGTGCTGTTGGAGTGTGAGCAAAGTAACATTTATGAAGGGATTCAGGGAAACCGGCAGGCCGGACTTGAGTCCTGGAGATGGGAAGTACAGTGCCTGCACTCTGAAGGAGGGGTGTTAATGTTGCAGTTTAAAAACTGTAGTGCAAAGCACCCTTCTGGCAAGACAGTGATGGAGTGAATGATGGTGAAAGTTTTTCTTTTTCGGGCCACCCTGCCTTGGTGGGAATCGGCCAGTGTGATAATAAAAAAAAAAAAAATAAATGATCAAGGTGTATTAATGGAAAATAGGAATAAATAAAGGGGCTGTAAATAGCGTGCTGAAAATTTCCAGCCAAGACAGGACTCGCAGCAATGGTTTCAAGTTGGAAAAATTCAGATTCAGGAAGGATATAGGAAAGCACTAGTTTGGTAATAGAGTTGTGGATGAGTTGAACAAACTCCCAAGTACAGTTATTGAGGCTAAAACGTTGTGTAGTTTTAAAAATAGGTTAGATAAATACATAATTGGGTGTGGGTGGGTGTGAGTTGGACCTGACTAGCTTGTGCTGCTGGGTCTGGTGCCATGCTCCTTCCTTGAGTGGAGGTGACCAGATTGGGTGGGTCATTGGGCTAATCCAGGGTGGGTGGGTCATTGGGCTAATCTGGGGGGGTGGACATGGACCTGCTCCGCATGGGTCAGTAAGCCTGTTGCAGTGTTCCTTCTTTCTTATGTTCTTATGGTGTCAGATGCAAAGACTTCGCCCCTGCAGCCACATATATGCGAGTACTTTTACGGTGGACCCTTGAATTTCGTCCCTCCTTGAATATCGTAAATTTTGGAAATCGATGACTTTTTTCGTCAAAATATTGGCTCGATTTTCATGATTTGGTTTAGAAATCAGCGGTCATATGAAATGTGTCTGAGCGGCCTCCCAGCCACTGCGGGCACACAAATACCATTCAGTGTCAGTCTGCATTCTATCTCGGTGAGTGACAATCACCTCACACGTTCATACGATACATTTCTTAATATATTTAATTTGTTTTAGTGCTTGCAACTGCTAAATAAGCCACCATGGGCCCAAAGAAAGCTCCTAGTGCCACCCCTTTGGTAAAGAAAGTGCAAAACACTACTGAAGTAAAGAAAGAGTTCACAGAAAAATATGAAAGTGGAATGCGTGTGGCGGAGCTCTCCAGGACATACTGGAAAACCAATTCAACCATCACTTCCATCGTGGCGAAGAAAAAGGAAATCGAGGAAGCTGATGTTGCACAAAGGGTGAATATGCTAACGAAAAAGAAATCACAAATAATCGAAGATGTTGAGAAGTTGTTGCTGGTGTGGATCAAACAAAAAGAGTCAGCAGGAGATAGTATTACGCAGTCGATAATATGAGAAAAGGCAAGGCAGTTGCATGACAATCTCGTAAAGAAAAGGCCTGGAACGAGTGCTGATGTAGGTGAATTCAAGGCCAACAAAGGCTGGTTCGAAAATTTCAAGAAGCAAAGCCGCATACACAATGTTGTAAGGCATGGTGAGGCTAACCAAACCATACCCCGGCCGGGATTGAACCCGCGGTCATAGAGTCTCAAAACTCTAGCCCGTCGCGTTAGCCACTACACCAGCTAGCCACAATAAGATTCATCCAACTAGGTATATTTCTACACCATAGGAAGGTTAGCACAGGCACCACTGTGACCACAAATGCAAGTTTTTACAGACGAATCTCCAGCTAGCGTGGCCGTGACGAACTCTAGCTCAAGTCCCTTCACTGCCGTCAACATGACTCAAGAAATCGTAATGACACGATTGCAAACAAACCATACCCCGGCCGGGATTGAACCCGCGGTCATCGAGTCTCAAAACTAGCGGGTTCAATCCCGGCCGGGGTATGGTTTGTTTGCAATCGTGTCATTACGATTTCTTGAGTCATGTTGACGGCAGTGAAGGGACTTGAGCTAGAGTTCGTCACGGCCACGCTAGCTGGAGATTCGTCTGTAAAAACTTGCATTTGTGGTCACAGTGGTGCCTGTGCTAACCTTCCTATGGTGTAGAAATATACCTAGTTGGATGAATCTTATTGTGGCTAGCTGGTGTAGTGGCTAACGCGACGGGCTAGAGTTTTGAGACTCTATGACCGCGGGTTCAATCCCGGCCGGGGTATGGTTTGTTTGCAATCGTGTCATTACGATTTCTTGAGTCATGTTGACGGCAGTGAAGGGACTTGAGCTAGAGTTCGTCACGGCCACGCTAGCTGGAGATTCGTCTGTAAAAACTTGCATTTGTGGTCACAGTGGTGCCTGTGCTAACCTTCCTATGGTGTAGAAATATACCTAGTTGGATGAATCTTATTGTGGCTAGCTGGTCTAGTGGCTAACGCGACGGGCTAGAGTTTTGAGACTCTATGACCGCGGGTTCAATCCCGGCCGGGGTATATTTTGTTTGCAATCGTGTCATTACGATTTCTTGAGTCATGGTGAGGCTGCCAGTTCAGACAAACATGCAGCTGAAAAATTTGTAAGTGAATTCAAGGACTATGTAGAGGCTGAAGGCTTCATCCCCCAACAAGTGTTCAATTGTGACGAAGCAGGCCTCTTTGGAAGAAAATGCCAAAGAGGACCTACATCACGCAGGAGAAAAAGGCACTGCCAGAACACAAGCCTATGAAAGACAAGCTAACTCTCATGTTGTGTGGTAATGCTAGTGGGGATTTCAAAGTGAAGCCTTTACTGGTGTATCACTCTGAAAATACCAAAGCCTTTACTGGTGTATCACTCTGAAAATACCAGTGTGTTCAAGAAAAACAGTGTCATAAAGTCTAATTTCTGTGTGATGTGGAAGGCTAACAGTAAGGCATTGGTCACAAGGGACATTTTCCTTGATTGGTTCAATGAAGTGTTTGGCCCCAGTGTGAAGAAATACCTCCTGGAAAATAAACTGGAACTCAAGTGCCTCCTGGTAATGGACAATGCTCCTGCTCATCCTCCAGACTTGGAAGAGCAAATGGTGAAGAAATTTAATTTCATCACAGTGAAGTTCTTGCCCCCTATACCACTCCTCTCCTCCAGCCCATGGACCAGCAGATCATTTCAAATTTAAACTCTACACCAAAGCAATGTTTCAAAGGTGGTTTAACATAACCTCGGACTCTGAATTGACCCTAAAAGAGTTCTGGAAAGATCACTTCAGTATCCTTCACTGCATAAACCTTATAGGTAAGGCTTGGCAGGGAGTGACTTCTAGGACAATGAACTCTGCTTGGAGAAAACTGTGGCCAGAATGTGTCCTCGACAAAGATTTTGAAGAGTTTGAGGCTGACCCTGAGGACCCTACGCCAGTTGTGGAATCTATTGTGGCATTGGGGAAGTCCATGGGGTTGGAGGTTAGTGGCAAGGATGTGGAAGAGTTGGTGGAGGACCACAATGAAGAGCTAACCACTGAAGAGCTGCTAGACCTTAATCTGCAACAGCAACAGACCACAGCTCAGGAAATTGCTTGAAAGGAGGAGGAACAGAGAGGGAAGAAGTTGCTTTCTTCAGAGATTCAGGAGATGTGTGCAATGTGGACTAGGATGGAAAAATTTGTGGAGGAATATCACCCTGACAAAGCTGTTGCAGGCCATGTATGCGACATGTTCAATGACAATGTCTTGTCTCATTTTAGGCAAATTTTTAAGAAACACCAGAAACAGACATTTCTGGAACAATTTTTTAAAGCAACAGGGGACCAGTGACTCTCAAGCTGGTCCTAGTTGCATTAAAAAGAAGGGAAGTAACCCCAGAAAAGGACTTGGTACCTGAAATCTTTATGGAAGGGGGATTCTCCTTCCAAACAATAATAACTCTTCCATCCTCTTCCCTCCTCCACACATCAACAATTCTTCAATAAGGGTAAGTGTCAAGTTATTGTTTTATTTTTCATGTCTTATTTTTTTCTGTGTAGATAAATGTGCATTTAATGTAAAAAAAAATATTTCTTTTCATACTTCTGGGTGTCTGGAACGGATTAATTTGATTTACATTATTTCTTATGGGGAAAATGGTTTTGAAAATTGTGAATTTTGAATTTCAGCGGACTCTCTGGAACAGATTAATCACGAAATTCAAGGGTCCACTGTACTTACAGAATTGTATATATGGAAGAATTGCATAAAGGGAGTAAAATATGTGGATTAGAATAAAAATGGGATGTGATAAATAGTTATAATAGGTGGCTTCTCATGCCAACAAGTGCTTTTGAAACTCGAAAGCAACTGGACTGTTGGGATGAATTTGCCTACAGCATCATCTCAAGGATAGAGAAATCTTCACTGTCAATAATAAGCACCATTATCATAAAAGAGTAATCAGAAATCAGCAGCTTCCTAATCTCAAAACAGTTACTACTGATTGAAAATAGATTATTACACCCAAACTAGGAAAAAAATTCAAGAATTATAATTTAATCTCAATTACTGTTTACCTGTAGGCAAAGTTTGTGAAACCAGGAATTCCTCTTACAGCAAGGAGCCCAAACTGCTGTCTTTGGATCTGCTCTCAGTTCCTCCATACAAATAGGACATTCAACTTTCTTACCAATACCATTTCCTTGCTGATAGTCACGATGGTCTACACAATATGACCTATAAGGCAAATAAAAGAAGTCAACAAAAATTCATTACAATAAAAATATATCAGTACTACCATCCTGCCAAGTGAATGTAAAACAAAAGCCTGTAATTGTTTTACATGATGGTAGGATTGCTGGTGTCTTTTGTCTGTCTCATAAATATGCAAGATAACAGGTACGTCTCGCTACTTCTACTTACCCTTAAGTCACACTACACATACATATACAAGCATATATATACACACCCCTCTGAGTTTTCTGCTATTTTCTTTCAAGTTCTTGTTTATTTCCTCTTATCTCCATGGGGAAGTGGAACAGAATTCTTCCTCCATAAGCCATGGGTGTTGTAAAAGGAGACTAAAATGCTGGGGGCAAGAGGCTAGTAACCTCTTCTCCTGTATATATTACTAAATGTAAAAAGAGAAACTCTCGTGTTTCGTTTTGGGCCACCCTGCCTTGGTGGGATACGGCCGGTTTGTTAAAAGTAAATAAATAAATAAATAAATAAATAAATAAATAAATAAATAAATAAATAAATATATATATATATATTTTTTTTTTTTTTTCAACAAGTCGGCCGTCTCCCACCGAGGCAGGGTGACCCAAAAAAGAAAGAAAATCCCCAAAAAGAAAATACTTTCATCATCATTCAACACTTTTACCACACTCGCACATTATCACTGTTTTTGCAGAGGTGCTCAGAATACAACAGTCTAGAAGCATACACATATAAAGATACACAACATATCCCTCCAAACTGCCAATATCCCAAACCCCTCCTTTAAAGTGCAGGCATTGTACTTCCCATTTCCAGGACTCAAGTCCGACTATATGAAAATAACCGGTTTCCCTGAATCCCTTCACTAAATATTACCATGCTCACACTCCAACAGATCGTCAGGTCCCAAGTACCATTCGTCTCCATTCACTCCTATCTAACACGCTCATGCACGCTTGCTAGAAGTCCAAGCCCCTTGCCCACAAAACCTCCTTTACCCCCTCTCTCCAACCCTTTCGAGGACGACCCCTACCCCGCCTACCTTCCCCTATAGATTAATATGCTTTCCATGTCATTCTACTTTGATCCATTCTCTCTAAATGACCAAACCACCTCAACAACCCCTCTTCTGCCCCCTGACTAATACTTTTTATTAACTCCACACCTTTTCCTAATTTCCACACTCCGAATTTTCTGCATAATATTTACACCACACATTGCCCTTAAACAGGACATCTCCACTGCCTCAAACCGTCTCCTCGCTGCTGCATTTACCACCCAAGCTTCACACCCATATAAGAGTGTTGGTACTACTATACTTTCATACATTCCCTTCTTTGCCTCCATAGATAACGTTTTTTGACTCCACATATACCTCAATGCACCACTCACCTTTTTCCCTCATCAATTCTATGATTAACCTCATCCTTCATAAACCCCATCCGCCGACACGTCAAGTCCCAAGTATCTGAAAACATTCACTTCTTCCATACTCCTCCTCCCCAATTTGATATCCAATTTTTCTTTATCTAAATCATTTGACACCCTCATCACCTTACTCTTTTCTATGTTCACTTTCAACTTTCTACCTTTACACCCCATTCCCAAACTCATCCACTAACCTTTGCAATTTTTCTTTAGAATCTCCCATAAGCACAGTATCATCAGCAAAAAGTAACTGTGTCAATTCCCATTTTGAATTTTGATTCCCCAAAATTTAATCCCACCCCTCTCCCGAACACCCTAGCATTTACTTCCTTTACAACCCCATCTATAAATATATTAAACAACCATGGTGACATTACACATCCCTGTCTAAGACCTACTTTTACCGGGAAGTAGTCTCCCTCTCTTCTACACACCCTAACCTGAGCCTCACTATCCTCATAAAAACTCTTTACAGCATTTAATAACTTACCACCTATTCCATATACTTGCAACATCTGCCACATTGCTCCTCAATCCACTCTATCATATGCCTTTTCTAAATCCATAAATGCAATAAAAACTTCCCTACCTTTATCTAAATACTGTTCACATATATGCTTCAATGTAAACACTTGATCTACACATCCCCTACCCACTCTGAAACCTCCTTGCTCATCCGCAATCCTACATTCTGTCTTACCTCTGATTCTTTCAATTATAACCCTACCGTACACTTTTCCTGGTATACTCAGTAAGCTTATTCCTCTATAATTTTTACAGTCTCTTTTGTCCCCTTTCCCTTTATATAAAGGGACTATACATGCTCTCCGCCAATCCCTAGGTACCTTCCCCTCTTTCATACATTTATAAAACAAAAGTACCAACCACTCCAACACTATATCCCCCCCTGCTTTTAACATTTCTGTCATGATCCCATCAGTTCCAGCTGCTTTACCCCCTTTCATTTTACGTAATGCCTCACGTACCTCCCCCAGGTGTTGGGACAATTCCTCTCCATCCAAGGGCAAGTTTTCTATTATCAATTTATAATGTACCAATTTGGTTATTTACCAAGGCAAAATTTATTGTATTAAATACAAAAATCCAAGTTATATAAAATTCAGTTTTATTACAAACAGAAGATTTAGCTAGAAATACAGTAGGGCCCTGCTTTACGGCATTCCACTAGTACAGCAATTTCAAATGGCCAAAACTCTCTGTATGGCACCCCGTCTTTCTAATATGGTGTGTGCCACCTGGTTTGTTTACATTCTCCATGAGCACCGCGTCCCTCCATTATGTTTGGAAACTTTCCAAAATTTCAAGTGTATTAACCCTTTGACTGTTTCGGTCGTATATATACGTCTTACGAGCCACCGTGTTTGACGTATATATACTCAAAAATTCTAGCGGCTTCAAATCAAGCAGAAGAAAGCTGGTAGGCAAACATGTGAGAGAATGGGTCTGTGTGGTCAGTGTGCACCATATAAAAAAATCCTGCAGCACGCAGTGCATAATGAGAAAAAAACTCCGACCGTTTTTTTTAATTAAAACGCCGACTTTGTGGTCTATTTTCGTATAGCATTTATGATTGTATTCTCATTTTCTTGGTCTCACTTGATAGAACGGAAAACATATTACAGTGGACCCCCGAGTTTTGTGATTAATCCGTTCCAGAGAGTCTGCCGACTGGCGAAATTCATGATTGGCCAATCTCTTTTCCCCATAAGAAATAATGGAAACCCAATTAATCCGTTTCAGACAGCCAAAAGTATTAACAAAAAATAATTTTTTTAAATATTAAATATAGATTTTCTTACTTTCTTTCAACACACCGGCCGTATCCCACCGAGTAAATATAGATTTACATACAGAAAACAATGACAAATAAATATAAAGCGCTAATAAAATGGATAAATGAACATTTAACATCACACTTAACCTTTATTTATTCTTGTTGGTGTAGGAGGTAGGTAGGAGGCAAGAAGAAGGCGAGTTTATTATGCTTCAATATGACGCTAATATCATCTCTACGGATTATTTATCTATCACAATTCATCTAATATAACATTATAAACAATATTAATAATATAGGAACATGATATATACTCTAGAATTAATAAAATATGTCATAACGTATGAGAGGAGTAAATGGTGTAAGTGTTGTTGTTGGGTTTAAGGGCCGCCACTGAGAGAAGCCGTGGAGGTGGAGGCTTTTGCTACCAACACTATTTATTTATTTATTTTTAATTTGGACATGATACATCGATGTACAAAGAAATACAATGGTTAAGCGCACATGCCAAAAGCCCCTTGTATGCAGAGCATTATGGGCAGGCTTAAAATTAACTGAAGATTAACTAAGCAATCATATATTCAGTGGTAAAAATTACAGTAAACAAATAACAATTAAGCACAAACAATGTATGTAATTTATAAATAAGAAATATTTACATTTTAATTTATAAATAAGAAATATTTACATCTTAATTTATAAATAAGAAATATTTACATTTTAATTTATAAATAAGAAATATTTACATTTAATTTATAAATAAGAAATATTTACATATTAATTTATAAATAAGTAAGTTTATTCAGGTATACACAAATGCAGTTACATACATAGATTATCATACATAGCAGCATATGTGTAAAGTATCCAGGATAACCCAAAAAATTCAAGAGTGACATATTTCCATTGATGTCCTTTTATATTTACACTTATATTTACTTTTATACTTGCACTTTTATATTTACACTTACCTTCGAGATGTTAGTTCAATTAGTTTGATGAAGGAGATGTTGGCAGAGGTTTAGGGTGGTGGAAGGTAGCAGGGCGGTGTATATTCAGCGGTCCTATACACATCTAACAACATTGGAGAGTTACTCTCATGTTCTTTTTCTATCGCTTACTCGCTTAACTTACTTGCTACACTGTTAATTCTACACTTTATCGCTGGCTGGCGCTATAGCCTTTATCGATACCTGCTGCTTTAGTATCATACATATTGTAGAATCACTGCAGAAGGCACATTCTCCCCTCACTCTTCCTCCTCTACTTTAATATTTTGCTACGAGTTTTTCTTGAATTCTATCGTGTTTCTCACCTTCTTTACCAAAGGGCTGCACTAGGAGCTTTCTTTGGGCCCATGGTGGCTTATTTAGCAGTTGCAAGCACAAAAAACAAAGAATTATTATGAAATGTGTTGTATGAACCCGTGGGATGATGGTCACATGCTGGTAAACAACTGCTCACTGAGATAGTGCAGGAGACTGGCTTTGTGTGCGCGCTGATGGGCAGACGCGTATCAGAAGGTCGCCGAATCACGAGTCCAATCATGAACTATGAAGCTAAATTTTGCCCAAAAAAAACTTGCCGAAAGTTGGATTTCACGAAAGTCACGGCTGCCAAACGGCGGGGGTCCACTGTATAGAAATAGAGGTGCTTTTGATTGGTTTTACTATGAAAAGAACCTTGAAATGGAGCTCAAAGTAGGGAAAATGTTTGATTTTTGCCAATGTTCAAAAGTAAACAAATGATGTCATTGTCCAATAAATGTCCAACTAGCCATTCTAATATGCAG